AGGTTGTGGCCATGGTGTTCTGGCCACTAGGGAGGTTGTGGCCATGGTGTTCTGGCCACTAGGGAGGTTGTGGCCATGGTGTTCTGGCTACTAGGGAGGTTGTGGCCATGGTGTTCTGGCCACTAGGGAGGTTGTGGCCACGGTGTTCTGGCCACTAGGGAGGTTGTGGCCACGGTGTTCTGGCCACTAGGGAGGTTGTGGCCACGGTGTTCTGGCCACTAGGGAGGTTGTGGCCACGGTGTTCTGGCCACTAGGGAGGTTGTGGCCATGGTGTTCTGGCCACTAGGGAGGTTGTGGCCATGGTGTTCTGGCCACTAGGGAGGTTGTGGCCATGGTGTTCTGGCCACTAGGGAGGTTGTGGCCACGGTGTTCTGGCCACTAGGGAGGTTGTGGCCACGGTGTTCTGGCCACTAGGGAGGTTGTGGCCATGGTGTTATGGCCACTAGGGAGGTTGTGGCCATGGTGTTCTGGCCACTAGGGAGGTTGTGGCCATGGTGTTCTGGCCACTAGGGAGGTTGTGGCCATGGTGTTCTGGCCACTAGGGAGGTTGTGGCCACGGTGTTCTGGCCACTAGGGAGGTTGTGGCCATGGTGTTCTGGCCACTAGGGAGGTTGTGGCCATGGTGTTCTGGCCACTAGGGAGGTTGTGACCATGGTGTTCTGGCCACTAGGGAGGTTGTGGCCATGGTGTTCTGGCCACTAGGGAGGTTGTGGCCACGGTGTTCTGGCCACTAGGGAGGTTGTGGCCACGGTGTTCTGGCCACTAGGGAGGTTGTGGCCACGGTGTTCTGGCCACTAGGGAGGTTGTGGCCATGGTGTTCTGGCCACTAGGGAGGTTGTGGCCACGGTGTTCTGGCCACTAGGGAGGTTGTGGCCATGGTGTTCTGGCCACTAGGGAGGTTGTGGCCACGGTGTTCTGGCCACTAGGGAGGTTGTGGCCATGGTGTTCTGGCCACTAGGGAGGTTGTGGCCACGGTGTTCTGGCCACTAGGGAGGTTGTGGCCATGGTGTTCTGGCCACTAGGGAGGTTGTGGCCATGGTGTTCTGGCCACTAGGGAGGTTGTGGCCACGGTGTTCTGGCCACTAGGGAGGTTGTGGCCATGGTGTTATGGCCACTAGGGAGGTTGTGGCCACGGTGTTCTGGCCACTAGGGAGGTTGTGGCCATGGTGTTCTGGCCACTAGGGAGGTTGTGGCCACGGTGTTCTGGCTACTAGGGAGGTTGTGGCCATGGTGTTCTGGCCACTAGGGAGGTTGTGGCCACGGTGTTCTGGCTACTAGGGAGGTTGTGGCCATGGTGTTCTGGCCACTAGGGAGGTTGTGGCCACGGTGTTCTGGCCACTAGGGAGGTTGTGGCCACGGTGTTCTGGCTACTAGGGAGGTTGTGGCCATGGTGTTCTGGCCACTAGGGAGGTTGTGGCCACGGTGTTCTGGCCACTAGGGAGGTTGTGGCCACGGTGTTATGGCCACTAGGGAGGCTGTGACCATGGTGCTGTAGGCTGGGAATGTTGTACTGACCGTGAGCTACCTTCACCACGCCTTGTGACCTTGCTCTCCTGCACCTGTATATTAAGTAGAGATTATGTGCGGTTACCTGACTCACTGGGTGACCTGGCTCGCCTGGATATGGGTAAATGTGAGGCAGGCACTTGACTCACCCATCATCTGAATCCTATCATTAAATAATAATAATAATACTAATAAAAGTAAATAATTAAATATTAATAGCAACAACAATTAGTCCTAAAAATATATTCCTGGTTGCTTTACCTGGTATTGATGCATGGTGTAATATTGTAATTTTTTTCACCAGGGCGCTGCTGAGGCCGAGACGTGTGTCAGTGAGCAGTAGTGAAGGCGGCAGAGTTAGTGGTGTTCACAACACTGGCTTAGTTGAGACAAGCACCCGCTCCATCACCTCCGAACTCGGGGGTAGAAATAGCCTAAGCTATTCTATCCCTTTGAGATGTATTCTTTCTTGTCTCAATAAACATACTTGAACCCCCGTACTGCCTGCACCAGTCATTACAAGTACAAATACAAATATTTATTCAGGTAAAGTACATACATACAAGGTAAGATACAAAAGTTGATGGATTGTGTTGTGAAAAAATCAGAAAAAAATGGAAAAAGGGTGGGGGGGGGACATGGCAGAAAAAAACAAAAATACAATTTGGTCAACAAACACCATTGTTAAAAATCGTAGACATGGATTGACATTTAGGGGTGAGGTAGGTTACATTGAGTTAATTAGGTGGTAATTAGTTTTTATCTTAAACTGGTTGGGAGAGATACAGTCTTTAACATAATTGGGAAGGTCATTCCACATTTGAGGTCCCTTGATTTGTAAAGCATTACTAGTTTGACTAAGTCGTACTCTTGGAATATCAAATAGGTATTTGTTTCTGGTGTGGTGCTCATGGGATCTGTTACAACCATCTAGGAAGCTTTTAAGGTCAGGATTGACATTACAGTTCAGCGTTTTATATATATGATAGAGTTCTGATGGTGTTGGAGTGCAACCTGATTGTGATATTATAGAGTATAGGATTCATTATTATTATATGTGTGTATGTATCGTGTATGTGCTTTGTCCAGTAAATGTGTCACAATTTGCTGGTGTTTGCCCTTGTCCTAGTGAGGCTTCCCAGGAGGTAGTAAAGAAGGAGAGAGAGAGAGAAAGAACCAAGAACCACTGCTGTGGACAGGGTAGGAGGTAATACTAGTAAGTCATAGGGGATTGAGGAGATCACATCTTATCTAAGGAGAGAGTGGGGAGTCACAGCGGCTCGAGTGGGTGTGTGCACGTGACAACGAGGCTAAGTGTTGGAGCCGCATCCCCTAAACGTGTGACGTTGAGCCCCTCTCCAAGAGCCAGAAGCGCCAAGGGTGATCTCCTAGTATAAGCACTCTACCGAGTTGTGGGTTGGGTTGTCCGTAGAGAAGGATCAACGACGACAACACCAACCAACCCACAGTCTATAATAAAATTGGGGGCCTGTCCGGGAGAGTGAACTGACACACCCACACCCTGTCCAAGAGTGGATTTGTACACCCTTGCTGAAATAAACTGTGTGACCGCAGGTGTATATTCTCTCTCTTGGGAAGACTCACAGGACAAGATGGGTAAGGTGCAAGCGTTTGTGGAGTCAGGCAAGCCCGAGGACTTGGAAGGTTGCACGAGGGATCAATTGAAACAGATAGCAGAAAAATGTGGCATTAGGTTGAAAGCATCTAAAGTAGCTGGGATGAAGGATGAGATCCTGAGGCAGTTGAGAGCCAGAAGTGAAGCGGCAGAACAAGGAGCCCAGGAAGGAGCTGAAAGTAGAAAGGAGGATGATGGGCAGGATGAAGTGAGATCCCAGGGATCGAGTAGGAGCAGCAAGAGTAGCCGCAGTAGTAGGAGTAGCCGGAATAGGAGCTTGGAGAGATTCCAGTTAGAGCTCCAGATGCAGCAACAACGAGAGGACAAGGAGAGACAGTTCCAGCTGGAAAAGATGAAATTAGAACTCCAGATGAAAAATGAAGCAGAGAAGGAAAAAGAAAAAACCAGACTGGAAATAGAAAAAGAGAAAGCAAGACTAGAGGTCGAAAAAGAAAAAGCCCAGGTCGAAAAAGAAAAAGCCCAGGTCGAAAAAGAAAAAGAGAGAACAAAACAAATGCAGATAGAAGCGAATAGAACCTTGGCTGAGCAGAGGATTGAACATGGGTTGCCAGAGAGCACCACCCAGGTATCACACCCACCAGAGGTTAGGGTTAGGGAGAAGGACATTCCCTTGTTTGTTCCCGAAGAGGCAGAGAGCTTTTTCGAGCACTTTGAAAAAGTAGCCAGCATCAAGGAGTGGCCACAGGAGGAATGGGCCCAGCTGGTCCAGTTAAGATTGACCGGTGCAGCCAGGGAGGCATACACCCAATTGTCACTGGAAGAGTGCCAGGATTACGCCACAGTAAAGAGCAGCATATTGCGCTCGTTTCAGTTAACCCCAGAAGCTTATAGGAAGCGCTTCAGAGAGATGGTGAAAGTTGGAGCATGTACGTTTGCTGAGACAGCAAGAGATCTGGAAAGACGATTCCAGAAGTGGATTGAGGCTGCTGGAGTTGGATCTTATGCTGACCTGAAGCAACTGATGGTCATGGAGAAGTTCTTGGAGATGATGCATCCCGAAACAAAGTTCAAGATCCAAGAAGCAGGGATAATGGAGGTGAAAGATGCCGCAGATAGGGCGGATATGATTACTGAAGCGTACAAGAGCTTGAGGGAGAACAGAGTGAGAAGTGAGGCGAGATGCAGCAATGGCAGATCCAATGGAGTCTGGGGAGGAAGAAATTATGAAAGACCCAGAGGAGTCTGGGGTGAGAAAAATTTTGATAAATGGGCAGATAAAAGTAAGTACCCTAAAACTCAGAAGAGTAGGTCGCGCACTTCATCTGAAAGTGAAGATGGAGGAGCTAAACGAGAAACTGATCGGTATCCGGGAAATCAAGAGTCCAGTACATATTCAGAGACTTGAGTAAGGGTACCGAGTGATGTCTGGGGCATTGACACTACTAGTTTGGAGACGATATATACGATATAGCTCCTGGGTTATATACCTATATTATAAGAGCGTGAGTGTATCATATGTTATAATTTGTAATATATTAGAAAAAGAATGAAGATTAAGGGAAAATACGAGGTAAATATGAGCACTGTGAGTTATGAGAGAAACGTTAAAATCTTCACAAGCGGTCGGATATACCATGTTTAACCCTCTCATCCATTTTTGTACTTCAATCATGAAGCCAGGTACAATTGTTAGGAGTATAAATAGATTTTTTAGATCTATTCATGCATGGGAGCGGGGGGGGGTAGGGGCGAACGCCTGAGATTAATCTTGCTATCCTTTTATGTTCGTGTTTTTTATAACTTTTATCCATTAAATAGTATGATGGCCAAAATTGAAGTACATAATATAAATGGAAAATGTAGAGCCTGTTAGTAGCTGTGTTATTACAGCGGAGGACACCACATTCAAAATGGGCGCCAGAGGGAGCGTTTCATACCTGAGGCGAGGCTGCACGGTGATTGGTGGGCGGGAGGCGGGAGCCGCTCCCCCGCCAGGAAGAAGGCGCCAAGGCACATGCCGCCATTTCACCCGCTAGATTTCGCCTATATCTCTGTGTTGGCTGTAAATGAAGACTTCGCCAGTGTTCCATTCCAAGCCTCATCTACCCACGAAGCTTTGACGTGCTTCAGCTGCCTCCCCAGACGCCTCCAGCTCAAGGTGAGCCTGTGTTCTTGTACCTATCTTACCACACGCGGTGTTGGCCGCCATAACCCTCTGGCCGACCACCTCAACATTACTAATGCCTCTTGTTATCAATCCTATTGTCCTATTTACCTTATTTCGAAAATTTATTCATTGACTCTTGAGACTTTATCAGAGTTAGATTAAGCAATTTCAGCATTGGCCTGATATCTGGTAAGTCAAATGTTATGTGCAAATCTTTACTACGTTTAAAGGCCTAACATTTTCATCAGCCTAATATATTGCAAGTAATATTCCTCAGTAATATTTTGTAGTAGTCATATAGATTATAAGAATGTTTGGTAACGATGAAGCTCTTATAGCAGATAATGAGAGTTGCGTTAACTCCAAAACGGCCGCTTGATTTGAATGTAAATCAAAATAAAATAATTGTGGTTGAGAGAGAGAAGGAATCTTGTAATCTTGAAGATGACAGAGGTCTTAAGAGGTGATTGATTGATCAGGTTCAATACCTGGTCTCTCTAATTGGCAAAATGTGAGTTTGTGTTATTGACGTTGGAAGTTTAGTTAGGGGAAGGAAAGTGTATAACTTGGTTACTGATGCACTCGCCCGTGTTTTCAAGGAACTTTTGGACACATAGGCCTATCCTTAAAGCTCCAGGAACAATGTCTCTGGGCTTCGTTTTGTCACCTTACAATAGTGAGAGTGAACGATGTCGTGTTTATTTTAGGCTGGTTTCCTGTAGACTTTAAATTTGAGTGACACTGTCTATCATTATTATCATCCCATCTTCCTGTTTTGGTAGTACTTATAGGAAGGATGAGCACCATAGTACATATACCCACGTACAACGTAATTAGGTAGTAAAAATCTGTACTATTGAATTTGAAAAAAACGGAAAACAATTTTCTACTTTTTTTTTGCTAAGACAAACTAATCTAACCTCACCCTCCTAGGCCTAATACACGCTATCTGAGGCCTAATGTAGCACATGTGTGTGATATACTAGGCTTAGGAATATTTAAGTTTATTATTTAGTTAAATTTTTTCAGACTATAAAGTGAATAGTACAAATTTTACTATCTAATTGCTCAGTACATAATTGTTTGTAATATGGTGCACATAGGTACAAAAAGTACTGTAACAGGAGGATGGCTTGTATAAGTCTGTCTAGAAAAGTGAGTTATCTCTTTTTATCTCTAAATCCAGACCCTATGTAAACGGGAGAGTGATGATGATGTTGGTGCTGGAATGTGTTTAACAGTGATAACCCAACCACATATCAGAAAGTGAAGAAACGACAACGTTTCAGTCCCTCCTGGACCATTATCTTGCCGTGTAACACAAAGTTGCTTAGTCTAAAAATTTTTTTAACGATTTCCTTTCAGAAATATAATGTAAAATGAACCTGTCATATTATAATGGGCGGTTTAGCAAAACTGTGGAAGTTTTAATCCATAGCTTTAATATTTAATTATGGTATACGAGCAGTAACTTGAGATTGGGTATTTACAGTGTTAGTAACATTGTACACGAAGCTAGGCTGTGTGTGTGTGTGTGTGCTTGTCAGCAACCAATCCTCCTGTTTGGATAGTAGTTTTTGTAACTATGTGCACCATAGTACAAACATTGAGGTACTAAGCAATTAGACAGTTGAATTTGGAACTATTCACTTTATAGTCCGAAAAAAATGAAGCTAGAAAAGAAACTTAAATATTCCTAGGCCTATTATAGCACACATATGTACTATATTAGGCCTCACATAGCGTTTATTAGGCCTAGGAAGGTTAGGTTAGTTTAGTTTGACTTTGCAACTTACATACAAAATCTTTTCCTATTTGTCCAAATTCAATAGTACAGAATTCTACTTTCTCTTTGCGTTGTACGTCGATATATATACTATGGTCCTCATCGTTATAGTAAGTACTACCAAAACAGGAGGATGGTCTTCAGAAGGAACATTGGATTGAAAAATCAGCACTGTATACGAGCACCCTAATGACTATAGCCATCAAATTGTTTGCTGTTTCTTCCTGCTTACATAACCATGGTACTCTATAATGACCTAAGTATTTTATTATGGGGCGTTTTTATTCAGTTTTACAAAACACATGTTTTGTTAACATATCCTCTTCACATTCGGGTATTTGATGTATGTTTTGGGCGCAGACTAGTAAACTTAAGCTGAGACGAGGTATATTTGTTTTAATATTTTAAAATAATATTGTTTGTATTGTGAGATATATTGGCATAGGAGACCGGGGATACTTTCCTCAGTCTCCTTCATAACAAGTTGTAAATAGTTGGGTTTCAGTTTGGCCAACTAACTGTAAATATCCCGTGTTTAACAGGAATTTGGACGAAGCTACCCAACATTTTTCCCTTGATTGCCAATTTACGGAACATGAAGTGTGCTAGGCTTGTCGAGGCTCTAGAACAGCCCGCCTTCTCCAGCTGCCACAACGGACAGAACCTGGTGTACTAAATCACACGAACTTATCCTAACCGAGCGATCCATGCATGAGAAACGTGAATGTTTCAGAGCCGCTGTGATTTATAGTGCCGTTGTAGCTAGTGGGACTGCTTCTAGGCCAGGGATGGCCAACCTATGATAAACATACCCAAGGTGCTATGAGAATTTTTGGGTTGGCACTATATAGTGTCGAGCCTCAGTTTTGATGAAATAAAAAATCAAGAGTTATCTGATGTTTAGGTTTGCAAAGCGATTTTTTTTTTACAATTATCTCTACACATTTAAATGACGAACACCAAATTACAGTTATGTGACAAAACGCGTGTTGTTATGCTTGGTAACATAGAGGTCTGAAATTTAGATAACAAAAATTATTTAAATTTTTGACCTAACACTAATGGCCTCAACGAGGACATAAAGACAGCGGTTTGTCAAAGGTCCCTCCATTTATCCTGATTATTTTTTCAATCTGGATTATAAAGTCAGCAGAGTTCTCGCATTTACGGCTTCGTTTTTTTTCACCCTGTGAAAAAGCATCTCTTTTCAGTCTTATATTGTGGGTTGTTGAGCTTGAAACCGTTGCTCCTAGTATGTGTTACATCTGGCCTTTTGAAGACGTTGTCTGGATCAACATCCTACACATTGTTCAGTATTTTGAACGTTTCGATGAGATCCGCTCTGTCATGTTTGGTTTGCAGTATTGTTAGCCCTGTAGCCCTCAACCTGTCCTGGTATGATAGTTGACTTAGTTTTGGAATTATTTTTGTTGCCCAGTGTTGAATATTCTCCTATAAAGCTATGTCTTTCTGACATACGTCATGTCAGAGAGCATCATCATGACTTTATTTTAAACGTGATGTTAACAATGGTACTTTTAAATGGTTCCCGAACTTAAAAAATAACACATGTCAGGTCTTGAAATTCACAACACAACTAATATTAAAAGCATTCATATGGAGTTTTGGAGCATAATTGATTCAACTATTGTACACTTTTATTTTAAGATTTTTCTAAATTCAGGTCATTTGGAGAAACTGCAAAATGTATAAAGTATGCACACAGTGCAACATTACACAAACTGAATTTGGAAATGTTGCAATGGATTGATTTGGATAGTTTTGTGATGTAAGTTATTGATATACAAAGCAACTAATGTTGAAGGCAAAATGTTGTCGACTTAAGTGTTGACCAAGAAAATATTAAGAACGATGGGTTAGTATCTGGATTAAATGCAGAAATTGAAGTTTTGAAACACTAGAATTCTATTCCTGAAACGATTAACTGAAAAATCTCGCAATAGCAGTATTAACAATATTTTCATCGACATTCGTGTGAATAATTGTTTTCAGTGATGAAGTTTGTCAAAGTGTAATTATATGAACAGACTTACCGATGAAACTAGTGCTGCGTGCAAAGCTCTCAAAAGAACCAAATGCAAGTCTCATGAAACATGTCAAAGCTGGTGCTGTAGCAAATGTATCCATGAGTAAACTTTGCGTATTTTTTCTTTAACTGATTTTTTTTAAATTTTTACAATATGAACCAATGTTAGCATTTTGTGTTCACATTTCTCATACTATTTATAAGGTACTATTTTTAAATTATGGAATTTTTAAATTGCTGTATTTTTAAAACAGATTTTTTTTGCGAGGCTTTCATTTATTTCAATCTTTGTTTTGTGTAATAGGTTACAATGAATGCACATAAATAAGGAAGAGGACTCCACCCCATTAACTTGCAGGGATCCATTATAATTTTTACTAATTATGAATGATCAGTTATGCTCATCATGTAATACCAGACGCTGTCACATATAAAATGATTCAGATGGTATTGATTGCCTAATATGACCATTTTAAAAATGCTTTTAAGCATTTTGTTGTCTATGGCGGGCAAGATAATGTGTTATCTCGGGTGCTATAGAGATTTGTTGGCAGTTTGGGCACAAGCTTTCATAAAGGCTGGGCACTCCTGCTCCCCTAGGCTAATGTCTCGGCTCGTTCTCTTCGGCGTTCCCAACGTCAAGAAACTATCGTACTAAACTACCTTATCCTAACCTACCAGAGGACCCGCGAACAGAAAACGGGACATTATGTCAATTTTGCGAGCCTCTACAACTTTCTAGTACTACAGTTGCTGGCCTTAGGTAGAGTATACGTCAAAATGCGACGTGCTATTAGGACGGGTTGGTTGACCTCCCCGAGGATGCAAGCGTCAACAGTCATCCAACTCCCTGACAACCATTTACTGCTTGGTCAGCAGATGCATGAGGTGTAAGAAAACGGGCCTAAACGTTTCATCCTGCTGCAGAAATCGAAATGAAGGTATTGGACTATAGGTCATACGTCATATTTACCTATTCAAAAATACTTTGTTGATGGTGATGGTAGCAGGAGTTGGTGGTGTGTAGAAGGTAGGGTCAAGCTGGTTGAGGTGTTGGTTCGGGCAGTATGTTGGGATAGTGACTAGGAGAGTTAGGGTGTATATTCACCTATCTGTTCGAGAAGGTTGGGCTTTAGCTCCTGGGTACGTTCTTCATATTTACCAATAAAACGAATGAACTTTGCTTCAACAACCTCTTACTCTCTGTTCTCACACTGATGTTTCTGATGATCCAGTCCCTTGTGTATTGACCTTGACCTGTCCCTTATGTGGCCCCTCTTCATGGTATTACCCTATGTGAGGGAGCCGGTCGGCCGAGCGGACAGCACGCGGGACTTGTGATCCTGTGGTCCTGGGTTCGATCCCAGGCGCTGGCGAGAAACAATGGGCAGAGTTTCTTTCACCCTATACCCCTGTTACCTAGCAGTAAAATAGGTACCTGGGTGTTAGTCAGCTGTCACGGGCTGCTTCCTGGGGGTGGAGGCCTGGTCGAGGACCGGGCCGCGGGGACACTGAAAAAAAAGCCCTGAAATCATCTCAAGATAACCTCAAGATATGTGTGACCCCTCTGTACTTCCCCATGTGTGACCCCTCTCTGTACTTCCCCATGTGTGACCCCTCTTTGTACTTCCCCATGTGTGACCCCCTCTTGGTACTACCCCATGTGTGACCCCTCTTGGTACTTCCCCATATATGACCCCTCTTGGTACTTCCCCATGTGTGACCCCTCTTGGTACTTCCCCATGTGTGACCCCTCTTGGTACTTCCCCATGTGTGACCCCTCTTGGTACTTCCCCATGTGTGACCACTCTTGGTACTACCCCATGTGTGACCCCTCTTGGTACTACCCCATGTGTGACCCCCTCTTGGTACTTTCCCATGTGTGACCCCTCTTGGTACTTCCCCATGTGTGAACCCTCTTGGTACTTTCCCATGTATGACCCCTCTTGGTACTTCCCCATGTGTGACCCCTCTTGATATGTTTGACCACGTACAATTGTTAAGATTATAAATTGATTTTTTAGATCTATTCATACATGGGAGCGGGGGGTAGCGGCGAACGCCTGAGATTAATCTTGCCATCCTTTTATGTTCGTTTTTTTATAACTTTTATCCATTAAATAGTATGATGGCTAAAATTGAAGTACATAATATAAATGGAAAATGTAGAGCCTGTTAGTAGCTGTGTTATTACAGCGGAGGACACCACATTCAAAATGGGCGCCAGAGGGAGCGTTTCATACCTGAGGCGAGGCTGTGCGGTGATTGGTGGGCGGGAGGCGGGAGCCGCTCCCCCGCCAGGAAGAAGGCGCCAAGGCACATGCCGCCATTTCTCCCGCTAGATTTCGCCTATATCTCTGTGTTGGCTGTAAATGAAGACTTCGCCAGTGTTCCATTCCAAGCCTCATCTACCCACGAAGCTTTGACGTGCTTCAGCTGCCTCCCCAGACGCCTCCAGCTCAAGGTGAGCCTGTGTTCTTGTACCTATCTTACCACACGCGGTGTTGGCCGCCATAACCCTCTGGCCGACCACCTCAACATTACTAATGCCTCTTGTTATCAATCCTATTGTCTTATTTACCTTATTTCGAAAATTTATTCATTGACTCTGAGACTTTATCAGAGTTAGATTAAGCAATTTCAGCATTGTCCTGATATCTGGTAAGTCAAATGTTATGTGCAAATCTTTACTACGTTTAAAGGCCTAACATTTTCATCAGCCTAATATATTGCAAGTAATATTCCTCAGTAATATTATGTAGTAGTCATATAGATTATAAGAATGTTTGGTAACGATGAAGCTCTTATAAGAGATAACGCACAACCCCGATGGACCCCTCCACCGTCTCCATTGTGGAGGCGGAAACAAATGGCCAAAAAGGTTTCTTTCACCCTGATGCTCCTGTTACCTATCAGTAAATAGGTACCTGGGAGTTAGACAGCTGCTACGGGCTGCTCCCTGGGGGTGTGTAACAAAAATGAGGCCTGGTCGAGGACCGGGCCGCGGGGACGCTAAGCCCCGAAATCATCTCCAGATAATGAAAAATGCGTTGACTAAAAAACGGTCGCTTAAATTGAATGTGAATAATAATAAAATAATGGAAATTCTTTAAAAAAGAGAAGGAATCTTGTAATCTTGAAGATGACAGAGGTCTTAGAGGTGATTGATTGATCAGGTTCAATACCTGGTCTCTCTAATTGGCAAAATGTGAGTTTGTGTTATTGATGTTGGAAGTTTAGTTAGGGGGAAGGAAAGTGTATAACTTGGTTACTGATGTACTCGCCCGTGTTTTCAAGGAACTTTTGGACACATAGGCCTATCCTTAAAGCTCCAGGAACAATGTCTCTGGGCTTCGTTTTGTCACCTTACAATAGTGAGAGTGATCGATGTCGTGTTTATTTTAGGCTGGTTTCCTGTAGACTTTAAATTTGAGTGACACTGTCTATCATTATTATCATCCCATCTTCCTGTTTTGGTAGTACTTATAGGAAGGATGAGCACCATAGTACATATACCCACGTACAACGTAATTAGACAGTAGAAATCTGTACTATTGAATTTGAAAAAACGGATAAAAATTTTCTACTTATGTTGCAAAGACAAACTAACCTAACCTAACCTTCCTAGGCATAATACACGCTATCTGAGGCCTAATGCAGCACATGTGTGTGCTATACTAGGCTTAGGAATATTTAAGTTTATTTTTTAGTTCAATTTTTTCAGACTATAAAGTGAATAGTACAAAATTCTACTATCTAATTGCTTAGTACATAATTGTAATATGGTGCACATAGTTACAAAAAGTACCGTAACAGGAGGATGGGTTGTATAAGTTTGTCTAGAAAAGTAAGTCATCTTTTTTTATCTCTAAATCCAGACCCTATGTAAACGGGAGAGTGATGATGATGTTGGTGCTGGAATGTGTTTACCAGTGATAACCCAACCACATATCAGAAAGTGAAGAAACGACAACGTTTCGGTCCCTCCTGAACCATTATCTTGCCGTGTAACACTTAAGTTGCTTAGACTAAATTTTTTTAACGATTTACTTTCAGAAATATAATGTAAAATGAGCCTGTCATATTATAATGAGCGGTTTAGCAAAACTGTGGCAGTTTTAATCTATAGCTTTAATATTTAATTTTGGTATACGAGCAGTAACTTGAGATTGGGTATTTACAGTATTAGTAACATTGTACACGAAGCTAGGCTGTGTGTGTGTGTGCTTGTCAGCAACCAATCCTCCTGTTTGGATCGTAGTTTTTGTAACTGTGTGCACCATAGTACAAACATTTGAGGTACTAAGCAATTAGATAGTAGAATTTCGTACTATTCACTTTATAGTCCGAAAAAATTAAGCTAGAAAACAATTTTCAATATTCCTAGGCTTAGTATAGCACACATATGTTCTATATTAGGCCTCACATAGCGTTTATTAGGCCTAGGAAGGTTAGTTTAGTTTGTCTTTGCAACATAAATACAAAACCTTTTCGGGTTTGTCCAAATTCAATAGTACAGATTTCTACTTTCTCTTTGCGTTGTACGTCGATATATATACTATGGTCCTCATCGTTATAGTAAGTGCTACCAAAACAGGAGAATGGTCTTCATAAGGAACATTGGATTGAAAAATCAGTACTGTATAGGAGGACCCTAATGACTATAGCTATCAAATTGTTTGCTGTTTCTTCCTGCTTACATAACCATGGTACTCTATAATGACCTGAGTATTTTATTATGGAGTGTTTTATTAAGTTTATTAGTTACAAAACACATGTATTGTTGACATATCCTCTTCACATTCGGGTATCTGATGTGTGTTTTGGGCGCAGACTAGTACACTAAGGCAGTGCTGAGACGGAGGTATATTTGTTTTAATATTTTAAAATAATATTGTTTGTATCGTGAGATATATTTTCATAGGAGACCGGGTGTACCTTCCTCAGTCTCCCTCATACCAAGTTGTAAATAGTTGGGTTTCAGTTTGCCTAACACTAAATATCCCGTGTTTAACAGGAATTTGGACGAAGCTTTCACAGCGAAATTACAATTTAAATAAAGTGTCTACCCTACATTTTTCCCTTGATTGCCTATTTTCGGAACATGAAGTGTGCTAGGCTTGTCGAGGGTCTAGAACAGCCCGCCTTCTCCAGCTGCCACAACGGACAGAACCTGGTGTACTAAAACACACGAACTTATCCTAACCGAGCGATCCATGCATGAGAAACGTGAATGTTTCAGAGCCGCTGTGATTTATTGTGCCGTTGTAGCTAGTGGGACTGCTTCTAGGCCAGGGATGGCCAACCTATGATAAACATACCCAAGGTGCTATGAGAATTTTTGGGTTGGCACTATATAGTGTCGAGCCTCAGTTTTGACGAATTAAAAAATCAAGAGTTATCTGATGTTTAGGTTTGCAGTGTTTTTTTTTTTTTTTTACAATTATCGCTACACATTTAAATAACGAACACCAAATTCCAGTTATGTGACAAAACGCGTGTAACATAACATGTTATGCTTGGTAACATAGAGGTCCGAAATTTAGATAACAAAAATTATCTAAATTTTTTACCTAACACATAATGGCCTCAACGAGGACTTAAAGTCGGCGGTTTGTCAAAGGTCCCTCCATTTATCCTGATTATTTTTTCAATCTGGATTATAAAGTCAGAAGAGTTCTGTCATTTACGGCTTCGTTTTTTTTTCACCCTGTGAAAAAGCATCTCTTTTCGGTCTTATATTGTGGCTTGTTGAGCTTGAAACCGTTGCTCCTAGTATGTGTTACATCTGGCCTTTTGAAGACGTTGTCTGGATCAACATCCTACACATTGTTCAGTATTTTGAACGTTTCCATGAGATCCGCTCTGTCATGTTTGGTTTGCAGTATTGTTAGCCCTGTAGCCCTCAACCTGTCCTGGTATGATAGTTGACTTAGTTTTGGAATTATTTTTGTTGCCCAGTGTTGAATATTCTCCTATAAAGCTATGTCTTTCTGACATACGTCATGTCAGAGAGCATCATCATGACTTTATTTTAAACGTGATGTTAACAATGGTACTTTTAAATGGTTCCCGAACTTAAAAAATAACACATGTCAGGTCTTGAAATTCACAACACAGCAAATATTCAAAGCATTCATATGGAGTTTTGGAGCATAATTGATTCAACTATTGTACACTTTTATTTTAAGATTTTCTAAATTCAGGTCATTTGGAGAAACTGCAAAATGTATAAAGTATGCACACAGTGCAACATTAGACAAACTGAATTTGGAAATGTTGCAATGGATTGATTTGGATAGTTTTGTGATGTAAGTTATTGATATACAAAGCAGCTAATGCTGAAGGCAAAATGTCTGTCGACTTGAGTGTTGACTAAGAAAATATTAAGAACGATGGGTTTGTATCTGTATTAAATGCAGAAATTTGCAGAAAATGAAGTTCTGAAACACTAGGATTCTATTTCTGAAACGTTTAACTGAAAAATCTCGCAATAGCAGTATTAACAATATTTTCATCGACATTCGTGTGAATAATTGTTTTCAGTGATAAAGTTTGTCAATGTGTAATTATATGTAAATTACATATGTGTGTATATAAGTATTATATTATTAGTATTATTATATAGTATAATTATATATATGTGAGTAATTACATGTGACTTAACCGATGAAACTAGTGCTGCGTGCAAAGCTCTCAAAAGAACCAAATGCAAATCTCATAAAATATGTCAATGTTGGTGCTGTAGCAAAAGAATCCATGAGAAGAATTTTCGTATTTTTTCTTTCCTTAATTTTTTTATAATTTCTGCAATCTGAACCAATGTTGTTATATTGCGTTCACATTTCTCATACTATTTATAAATTATGTAATTTTTAAATTGTCGTTTTAAGAACAGATTTTTTTGCGAGGCTTTCATTTATTTCAATCTTTGTTTTGTGTAATAGGTTACAATGAATGCACATAAATAAGGAAGAGGACTCCACCCCATTAACTTGCAGGGATCCATTATAATTTTTACTAATTATGAATAATCAGTTATGTGCATCATGTAATACCAGACGCTCTCACATATAAAATGATTCAGAAGGTATTGATTGCCTAATATGACTTAAACATGCTTTTAAGCCTTTTGTTCTCTATGGCGGGCAAGATAATGTGTTATCTCACATGATATAGAGATTTGTTGCCAGTTTGGGCACACGCTTTCATAAAGTCTCAGCACGTCTGCCCCCATAAGGCTAATGACTCCGCCCGTTCTCGCCAGCGTTCCCAACGTCAAGAAACTATCGTACTAAACTGCCTTATCCTAACCTACCAGAGGACCCGCGAACAGAAAACGGGACATTATGTCAATTTTGCGAGCCTCTACCACTTTCTAGTACTACAGTTTCTGGCCTTAGGTAGAGTATACGTCAAAATGCGACGTGCTATTAGGACGGGTTGGTTGACCTTCCCGAGGATGCAACCGTCAACAGTCATCCAACTTCTGACAACCATTTACTGCTTGGTCAGCAGATGCATGAGGTGTAAGAAAACGCGCCTAAACGTCTCATCCTGCTGCAGAAATCGAAATGAAGATATTGGACTATAGGTCATATGTCATATTTACCTATTCAAAAAAGTCCCTGTTGATGGTGGTGGTAGCAGGAGTTGGTGGTGTGTAGAAGGTAGGGTCAAGCTGGTTGAGGTGTTGGTTCGGGCAGTATGTTGGGATAGTGACTAGGAGAGTTAGGGTGTATATTCACCTATCTGTTCGAGAATGTTGGGCTTTAGCTCCTGGGTACGTTCTTCATATTTACCAACAAAACGAATGAACTTTGCCTCAACAACCTCTTACTCTCTGTTCTCACACTGATGTTTCTGATGATCCAGTCCCTTGTTTATTGTGTCCTGGACCTGACCCTTATGTGGCCCCAGTCTTGATCCTCTTCCTTATGTGGCCACTCTTCTTTGTACTTTACCATGTGTGACCCCCTCTTGGTGCTTCCCCATGTGCGACCCCTCTTGGTGCTTCCCTATGTGCGACCCCTCTTGGTACTACCCCATGTGTGACCCCTCTTGGTACTTCCCCATGTGTGACTCCTCTTCTTGGTTCTTCCCCATGTGTGACTCCTCTTGGTGCTTCCCCATGTGTGACCCCTCTTGGTGCTTCCCTATGTGCGACCCCTCTTCTTGGTTCTTCCCCATGTGTGACCCCTCTTGGTGCTTCCCCATGTGCGACCCCTCTTGGTGCTTCCCCATGTGTGACCCCTCTTGGTACTACCCCATGTGTGACCCCTCTTGGTACTACCCCATGTGTGACTCCTCTTGGTACTTCCCCATGTGTGACCCCTCTTGGTACTTCCCCATGTGTGACCCCTCTTGGTACTTCCTCATGTGTGACTCTGCTTGGTGCTTCCCCATGTGTGACCCCTCTTGGTACTTCCCCATGTGTGACCCCTCTTGGTACTTCCTCATGTGTGACTCCGCTTGGTGCTTCCCCATGTGTGACCCCTCTTGGTACTTCCCCATGTGGGATCCCTCTTGATATGTTTGACCACGTACAATTGTTAAGATTATAAATTGATTTTTAGATCTATTCATACATGGGAGCGGGGGGTAGCGGCGAACGCCTGAGATTAATCTTGCCATCCTTTTATGTTCGTGTTTTTTATAACTTTTATCCATTAAATAGTATGATGGCCAAAATTGAAGTACATAATATAAATGGAAAATGTAAAGCCTGTTAGTAGCTGTGTTATTACAGCGGAGGACACCACATTCAAAATGGGCGCCAGAGGGAGCGTTTCATACCTGAGGCGAGGCTGTGCGGTGATTGGTGGGCGGGAGGCGGGAGCCGCTCCCCCGCCAGGAAGAAGGCGCCAAGGCACATGCCGCCATTTCTCCCGCTAGATTTCGCCTATATCTCTGTGTTGGCTGTAAATGAAGACTTCGCCAGTGTTCTATTCCAAGCCTCATCTACCCACGAAGCTTTGACGTGCTTCAGCTGCCTCCCCAGACGCCTCCAGCTCAAGGTGAGCCTGTGTTCTTGTACCTATCTTACCACACGCGGTGTTGGCCGCCATAACCCTCTGGCCGACCACCTCAACATTACTAATGCCTCTTGTTATCAATCCTATTGTCTTATTTACCTTATTTCGAAAATTTATTCATTGACTCTGAGTCTTTATCAGAGTTAGGTTAAGCAATTTCAGCATTGTCCTGATATCTGGTAAGTCAAATGTTATGTGCAAATCTTTACTACGTTTAAAGGCCTAACATTTTCATCAGCCTAATATATTGCAAGTAATATTCCTTAGTAATATTATGTAGTAGTCATATAGATTATAAGAATGTTTGGTAACGATGAAGCTCTTATAAGAGATAACGCACAACCCCGATGGACCCCTCCACCGTCTCCATTGTGGAGGCGGAAACAAATGGCCAAAAAGGTTTCTTTCACCCTGATGCTTCTGTTACCTATCAGTAAATAGGTACCTGTGAGTTAGACAGCTGCAACGGGCAGCTTCCCGGGTTGTGTCACAAAAAGGAGGCCTGGTCGAGGACCGGGTCGCGGGGACGCTAAGCCCCGAAATCGTCTCAAGATAATGAAAGTTGCGTTGACTCAAAAACGGCCGCTTAAATTGAATGTGAATAAAAATAAAATAATGGGAATTCTTTGAGAAAGAGAAGGAATCTTGTAATCTTGAAGATGACAGAGGTCTTAGAGGTGATTGATCAGGTTCAATACCTGGTCTCTCTAATTGGCAAAATGTGAGTTTGTGTTATTGACGTTGGAAGTTTAGTTAGGGGAAGGAAAGTGTATAACTTGGTTACTGATGCACTCGCCCGTGTTTTCAAGGAACTTTTGGACACATAGGCCTATCCTTAAAGCTCCAGGAACAATGTCTCTGGGCTTCGTTTTGTCACCTTACAATAGTGAGAGTGAACGATGTCGTGTTTATTTTAGGCTGGTTTCCTGTAGACTTTAAATTTGAGTGACACTGTCTATCATTATTATCATCCCATCTTCCTGTTTTGGTAGTACTTATAGGAAGGATGAGCACCATAGTACATATACCCACGTACAACGTAATTAGATAGTAAAAATCTGTACTATTGAATTTGAAAAAAACGGAAAACAATTTTCTACTTTTTTTTTGCTAAGACAAACTAATCTAACCTCACCCTCCTAGGCCTAATACACGCTATCTGAGGCCTAATGTAGCACATGTGTGTGATATACTAGGCTTAGGAATATTTAAGTTTATTATTTAGTTAAATTTTTTCAGACTATAAAGTGAATAGTACAAATTATACTATCTAATTGCTTAGTACATAATTGTTTGTAATATGGTGCACATAGGTACAAAAAGTACTGTAACAGGAGGATGGGTTGTATAAGTCTGTCTAGAAAAGTGAGTTATCTCTTTTTATCTCTAAATCCAGACCCTATGTAAACGGGAGAGTGATGATGATGTTGGTGCTGGAATGTGTTTAACAGTGATAACCCAACCACATATCAGAAAGTGAAGAAACGACAACGTTTCAGTCCCTCCTGGACCATTATCTTGCCGTGTAACACTAAGTTGCTTAGACTAAAAATTTTTTAACGATTTACTTTCAGAAATATAATGTAAAATGAACCTGTCATATTATAATGGGCGGTTTAGCAAAACTGTGGCAGTTTTAATCCATAGCTTTAATATTTAATTTTGGTATACTAGCAGTAACTTGAGATTAGGTATTTACAGTGTTAGTAACATTGTACACGAAGCTAGGCGGTGTGTGTGTGTGCTTGTCAGCAACCAATCCTCCTGTTTGGATAGTAGTTTTTGTAACTGTGTGCACCATAGTACAAACATTGAGGTACTAAGCAATTAGATAGTAGAATTTGGTACTATTCACTTTATAGTCCGAAAAAATGAAGCTAGAAAACAATTGTAAATATTCCTAGGCTTAGTATAGCACACATATGTACTATATTAGGCCTCAGATAGCGTTTATTAGGCCTAGGAAGGTTAGGTTAGGTTAGTTCGTCTTTGCAACATAAATACAAAACCTTTTCGGGTTTGTCCAAATTCAATAGTACAGATTTCTACTCTGTCTTTGCGTTGTACGTCGATATATATACTATGGTCCTCATCGTTATAGTAAGTACTACCAAAACAGGAGAATGGTCTTCATAAGGAACATTGGATTGAAAAATCAGTACTGTATAGGAGGACCCTAATGACTATAGCTATCAAATTGTTTGCTGTTTCTTCCTGCTTACATAACCATGGTACTCTATAATGACCTGAGTATTTTATTATGGAGTGTTTTATTAAGTTTATTAGTTACAAAACACATGTATTGTTGACATATCCTCTTCACATTCGGGTATCTGATGTGTGTTTTGGGCGCAGACTAGTACACTAAGGCTGTGCTGAGACGGAGGTATATTTGTTTTAATATTTTAAAATAATATTGTTTGTATCATGAGATATATTGGTATAGGAGACTGGGTGTACCTTCCTCAGTCTTCCTCATACCAAGTTGTAAATAGTTGGGTTTCAGTTTGCCTAACACTGTAAATATCCCGTGTTTACCAGGAATTTGGACGAAGCATTCGCAGCGAAATAACGATTTAAATAAAGTTGCTACCCTACATTTTTCCCTTGATTGCCTATTTTCGGAACATGAAGTGTGCTAGGCTTGTCGAGGGTCTAGAACAGCCCGCCTTCTCCAGCTGCCACAACGGACAGAACCTGGTGTACTAAAACACACGAACTTATCCTAACCGAGCGATCCATGCATGAGAAACGTGAATGTTTCAGAGCCGCTGTGATTTATAGTGCCGTTGTAGCTAGTGGGACTGCTTCTAGGCCAGGGATGGCCAACCTATGATAAACATACCCAAGGTGCTACGAGAATTTTTGGGTTGGCACTATATAGTGTCGAGCCTCAGTTTTGACGAATTAAAAAATCAAGAGTTATCTGATGTTTAGGTTTGCAGATTGATTTTTTTTTGTTTACAATTATCTCTACACATTTAAGGGGGCATATCATTTAAATAAAAGTTGTTCAATTTGCTTATAAATTTATTTATGAAATGGTTATAGAAAGGGCTGCAACTGGTCCAAGTTTCACCATCACTGAAAAGGAGAAAAAAAATACGCAACGTATTATGCAACGAATGTTCAACATTCTCAAATAATCTCAGAGAACACATGTGTCAACTAAAATGTCTACTATGTGCTGTAGAAGCACAAACTCTTGTAATAATTGTAATATGTATGTGCAATATATTTATATTTAAATTTTTTTTTTTTCTTTTTTTTTTTTCTTTTTTTTTTTTGGCCAATTTTTTTTTCTCGTTTGTTATCAAGGGATTTGCATGAAACATGCACACCTTGCTCAATGGATGCCTATCTGCAAGGGTGCCAATTATGAACGAAATCTGTCGACGTCAAGCTCAGCTACAGGTGGCCGAACTTGGATCTTTATTTTACTCTGGAAAGTAATTTGCACCTTCAAAGTGCTTCAGAGCTTTCATTTATTAATAAATTTACATGCAAATTTCCCCTTATATGTAGCGTTTGTGCTTCTAAAGACTCTAGTAGACATTTTAGTCCAAAGTCTATTTGTTGATTTTATAAAAATTTATAAATATCATATATTGCCTATATTTTAGAAGGGTAACTTTGAATAATTATATTATTGCACTAAACACGTTTTTCATAAAACTGATCACTAGAATCTTTTATTATGTGCTAAATCTAATATCTGAGTGTTATAGAAATGATTTTAGTTGACACATGTGTTCCCTGAAACTATTTGAAAATTCGTTGCATACTTCGTTGTGTATTTTTTTTCTCTTTTTCTGTTTAGGGTGTGATGGTGAAACTTGGACCAGCTACAGCCCTTTCTATAACCATTTCATAAATAAATTTATAAGCAAATTGACCACTTGTAATTTGTAGTTGATATGCCCCCTTAAATAACGAACACGAAATTACAGTTATGTGACAAACCGCGTGTTGTTTTTCTTGGTAAAATAGAGGTTTGAAATTTAGATAACAAAAATTATTTAAATTTTTGACCTAACACATAATGGCCTCAACGAGGACTTAAAGTCGGCGGTTTGTCAAAGGTCCCTCCATTTATCCTGATTATTTTTTCAATCTGGATTATAAAGTCAGCAGAGTTCTGTCATTTACGGCTTCGTTTTTTTTTCACCCTGTGAAAAAGCATCTCTTTTCGGTCTTATATTGTGGCTTGTTGAGCTTGAAACCGTTGCTCCTAGTATGTGTTACATCTGGCCTTTTGAAGACGTTTTCTGGATCAACATCCTACACATTGTTCAGTATTTTGAACGTTTCGATGAGATCCGCTCTGTCATGTTTGGTTTGCAGTATTGTTAGCCCTGTAGCCCTCAACCTGTCCTGGTATGATAGTTGACTTAGTTTTGGAATTATTTTTGTTGCCCAGTGTTGAATATTCTCCTATAAAGCTATGTCTTTCTGACATACGTCATGTCAGAGAGCATCATCATGACTTTATTTTAAACGTGATGTTAACAATGGTACTTTTAAATGGTTCCCGAACTTAAAAAATAACACATGTCAGGTCTTGAAATTCACAACACAACAAATATTAAAAGCATTCATATGCAGTTTAGGAGCATAATTGATTCAACTATTGTACACTTTTATTTTAAGATTTTCTAAATTTAGGTCATTTGGAGAAACTGCAAATGTATAAAGTATGCACACAGTGCAACATTAGACAAACTGAATTTGGAAATGTTGCAATGGATTGATTTGGATAGTTTTGTAATGCAAGATATTGCTATACACAACAGGTAATGTTGAAGGCAAAATGTTGTCGACTTAAGTGTTGACCAAGAAAATATTAAGAACGATGGGTTAGTATCTGGATTAAATGCCGAAATTTGAAGAAAATGAAGTTC